AAATTGCTAGGTTGCTGGTTCAACTTCCCTGTGGTGGCATTTTTTTTGCCGCCGCTGCACCCACTAACAAATATTGTACACTTGACCTTGATCAAGAGCAGCTGTCCTTTGATTTACTTCCATGCATATCATCTTTATTCAATACATCTCACAGTGAACTTGGGCATGAACTTGAACAGGGACTTGGAGGACTTGGCCAAGTACCTGGTACTTGGCCAAGTCGACCCACCCGACTTGGCCAAGTCCATTGGACTTGGGGTACTTGAGGTACTTGGGATACTTGAGGTACTTGGCCAAGTACCCCAAGTACCTGTACAAGTCCGTGACGTTTTCCTGATGTCCCCTAAGCAAGCAATCAATTGCATTTTCGTGTATGGCAGAATGTTTGCGAAACTCACTCGACGACGATGATGTAACGACGAACGCATTGCGCTCAAGCAGGGTCGGAAAATACTGGCCAAGCTCTCGTGTCCAGAATCGTTGCCTGCGAGGATGTAGTGGACCGTCCACTGCTAATGAGATCTTCGGATTCGCAAATCCGAGCAGAATTTGTTCCAGCTCCTGGAACGGTAGCTCGGATTCCTCCGTTTCGTTGGTGCAGTATAGCACAGATATTAGGTCACTTGAAAGAAGACATGTGACCCCTTGCAAGTGTGGAGGATGAAAAGCATCGAAGAAGTCGATGGCCTCCAGCATGCTTTCGGGCTCGAAGAGCAGTTGGAGCGTCAGGAATCGTAGTTGTTTCCAATCCGCAGCTTTCGAGAAGGAATACAACTGGGCTAGATAGTGCAGAAATTACGCAATGAGCATCAGCTCAAGATATGATCAGAGGATCGCTGACCGTCAGGATCCACAAATTTGTAACTATGCGGCACTGTCAAGAGCAGGCGCTCTACGGTGCTTCGGGTTAGATCCAGAAGCAAGTCTACCGCAGCTTCCTCCACATCCCAGTCCAGCTATAATCCACCAAGAACGCGTCAGACGTAGTAGTGATATATGGCATGCGATACTGACTGTGAGCACCCTCAGCGCCAGTCGCTCTGCCAGACGTTGATTACTCCCTTGAATTTGAAGTGGGTGGCTCCCTTCCTTCGTCCTGATAAGGAGGTCCATGCAGGTGAGATCCTTCACGCACGTGAATGCTGAGAGCATTCTGGAGAACGCGCAACATGTAGAAAAGGAAAGGTTATAGAGGTGTAGTGTCTCGATACGCGTCCCGTGTTTGTAGTACCAAGGGATAGATTTATTCAGACAGGTCGTAGGTCGCTCCTCTCTGCGTGTGTCGTCGTATCCATGAGTGATGAGGACGATGTCGCCGAGGCCAGGAAGGAGCGAAAGTAGTGGAACGGGCGCAAAGTCGGTAGGCGATACGACCAATGAACGGACGAGAGGCTGCAGGTACGGCTTGCCACGGAGGAAGTCGCAGAAGGCAAGGACCTTTCCCTCGCTTTTCAGCTTAACGTGGGCAACGAGGAGAGAGAGGCTGCGAGGGCGCAGCTGATGGCATGTAGTCGAAACGTTGTACAGGACCTGGGATTCGTTCCGAGACTGTTCAATGACGTTCTCGATGACTTCCCAAGGCAGTGCGAGGTGGGGGAGTTGGAAGTAAGGATTACGAGCCATTGGGAGAGGATGGGCGTAGCGTGATCAGGCTAGGGTGTAGCGGAAGGGAGGAGGCAGCTCGATACTTGACCATAGCAGGATTTCAGCATAGAATAAGGTAGTGAAGGCACAGCCTGGCATGTTACGTACGGTGTCCTTGGTGTTGACAGGGATGGGAAACTTGGAGAGGACTCGACAGGACCGCCGGCGGCATGACAAGAGCATAGGTGCGCCTCAACTCAATGTCCGGACAGCATGCCCCGGATCATCGAGAACGTTCGCTGCGGGACGACAATTAGACTCAAGCACTCACAAAGTACAATATACCTCGCAAGCGAATAGCGACAGAACTCACGCTCTGGGATAGTCAACTCAGCCTCAATTGACATTAGCTTTGCGCTGTCAAGAGGATGGTGGGAAACCTGTACGTGCATGTACTCGATGCGCCTTGACTGCCTGAGGTCCGTGTCTGTCCACAGATGGGAACATACTATGGATGAGAACTTTGCATCATACTAAAGCCATAGCCTTGCTGTCGTGCAGTTATGATTGTGGAGTACATATGTCTGCTGCGTGAGAACGCGAAGCATGCGAACACAGACACAAGGGGCGGTTCGGTGATCCGGCTAGCTATTGTTGGACATTGACGTATTCGACTGGACTTCGGTCCCTTGATCTGCGACGTGGATTTCGTAAGGGTCAGTTCGGATACCAGGTTCTGAGCCAGAATCCAGGTTCCGCCGGATTCTGCACTGCATCTTCCATGCCGCCAGTACGGGCGTCTCCTGCCACCCTACTATATCGGGTAGTCACGGCGCTTGAGTTCTCTATCTCTCGTCAGCTTTAGAAGTGGGTTATCGGGGGCGTATGAGCTTTATGATGTTGATGCCGTCTCTTTGAAGGCATAACTTGAGGAATATGCACAGCTAACACCTTTGGTACCTTTTCACCAAGTCAAATAACAGGTTCAGCCCAGCCATACAATGGAAAGCACCTGTCTCCGATACATACTCAGTCGAATCAGGACACGGTCCTCTTTTCCTTGTAGCAGGGTACATTTGTATACGTCCAAGTGCTGTATAGCCATACATAGAGGCCAGAAGCAAGTGAACAACTCGCGCCTTAGTGCCCGGCATGCGTCCGTAACTGCTGGTCACCTACAGCTGTCACTAAATTAGTCACCCATCAGTCACAGTAGCGCCCGGGCAGAGACTTTGACTGGCAATCCGGTGGAACCTGCATCAGCAAAAAAGCGAAACGGATGGTCAGTGATGACCAGGTTCCGCAATTCTGACCAGATTGGGCAAGGTATGAGAAGTAGATGGTAAACCCGTACCAAATCCGCCAGGTGTGGTCTGCAATGGCCAGATGCCGCGGGGCGCCTGGACATTGATAGCCATTTCTCGCTGAGCATTCGGACAGCAGCTACCATATCATAGGGGAACTAAGGTCAATAATGTACAAGTTTGACTGAGTCAATGAACATACATGGTCAGTATCTGGTGCAAATTCTACCATGGATGCCCAAGCTCACGCGAAACTATGCTCAGGAAGTAGCCAACAAATTATCACACGATTTGAGTTTTGTTTTTTTTCTGATAATCAATGATAATTAGACGCGAACTACTATACATGGAAGAAGGGAGACATGGAGTTCAGTTACACACACCTAGTGTACGCAAAAGAAGGAGGGGTTAGGGTTAGTAGGACTGGTGCTAGATGATCAGGAGCAAGGACGATTCCGAAACGCAAAGTTACAAGTACACGACAATGTCAATGCAAAATACGAAAGGTCAGTGAGGCGCCAATGCTTACGGAGAGGGAAAGAGCGCAAAGGAATAGTATGCGCACATTGGACATACCTGTCGCGGCGACTAGG